GGTGAAAGCTAACGTACGAAATCAGAGGGCAGCACACGGTGCGATCGCGCGACCTTGCCCGTGAGCAATCTCCCAACTCATCTCTGGTAATTATTAATGCGATGGAGACATGCGATTTACTGGAACCGTACCCAATAAATCCCGGATTGAGGAGTACGATGGAGACATAGTTCTTATCTCCTTTACAACATGGTCGGCAAAAATTTACGTACCGTGTGCAGCGGGCTTTAGCTGCACAGGAATTACGAAATGAGAAAATTTCCGTTGTACATTCTTTGTAGCCTATCAAAATCTCTTATCGTGCAACCCCGTTGGAAGAATGAATTATCGGCCTAAGGTGTTGAGTGGAGGTAAAAGATTTGATAAAGAACTTTAACAAAGTCGTTGATCGTGGACACCAGTGGACACAGACCTTAAGGCTATGACTGATTCAATACCCAATGACAAGATAAACGTCATCCCTGATAAACGTTACCTTGCGACTTTAATTGTTTCCTAAGCATTAATTATTGTATTTTATCGCGAAGGTTAAAAAAATGATTTATGTAATAACTGAATTTGCCTACCAATAAGTCTCGCAGGTGTCTTTAAAAAAGCCAAATAGAGTCTAGCCTTCTGACACACACGAGGATAGCCGAAAATCAATGATAAGGCCGTGCTCACGTGGAGGCAAATAATATCCGGTACTAGCTTGGCGTAGCCGGAGGCTCGTTTGTGAAAGTAACAATCTTGAAATGCCACGCCACAGAAGTTACACAGTTCGTATTTCGATAAGTTGATAAGTTGAAAATAAAAGCCTTTGGCGCGCAGTTGGCTAGTGCATTTTTTTTTAACAAGTATTGTCATGGGACCTCCTTCCGTAAGTTACTAAAATAAGTGATTCTTATTTTTTATTTAATGTATATGCTTTGTATTGACAGATGATACATTTACGAAATAAAATGTTAGTTTATAATAATGGAAGTAGCTGTTATGTTCATTGTTTTAATGTATTAGGTGACAAGGACTTTGTAAACAGTTGTTTATGCCATATCCATTTCTTCACATCCATATTGCAGCCAAAAATACCCAAGTAACTATTCTTTATTTGTTGTTTAAATCAGAGTAATATGGAGGAAGCTACTTTGTTCAATGCAAGTATTCTTGAAAGGTTGTCAATTTTAAAGACAGATAATAGTCTTATCGTTAGACCTTTGAAGACAACAGATTACGATAAAGGTATACGTTAAATTATTTAACGTGGACATGATGAGATATAGAAAGTTTTAATTGCATGCATATTAATATATACATAATACTAATTACAGGTTTTCCTCAAATTCTGAATCAGTTGACAGAAGTGGGAAATGTTAGCAAGGAACAATTTTTGAGTACGTTTAGCAGTATACTCTTTCACAGGATGTTTAAATGGAAGGTATATGATGTTGAATTTTGTTGCAGATGTATTTTGGAAAATGAAGGCATCTGGTAGTTATTATGTAATTGTTATAGAAGATGTAAATAATGACAAAGTAATCGGATGCGCTACATTAGTATTGGAACAAAAGTTCATTCATAATTGCGCACTGGTAAATATAGTAATAAACTTAATTTTCAGGATATAATTTAACTACGTTACTCTTTCAATTACTAAAAAAAAGTTCCAGTTCTTTCATAACTATTGAGAAGAGTAACTTCTCATACACGAGCAACATTAAGAACTCATTCTCTTTAATAATGGATTGCATTTTGTTTTTAACAGAGAGGTCGTGTGGAAGATGTGGTTGTAAATAAAGAATACAGGGGGAAACAGTTGGGAAAATTGGTGGTTACGACCCTATCTAAACTGGCACAGCATTTAAATTGTTACAAACTGTCCCTAGATTGCCGTGACGCACTTATTCCATTTTATGAAAGTTTGGGATTCAAGAAAGAACATAGCAATGCTAATTCTTTGAACATGCGATTACTTCCTGAAAACACTCAAGAACAATCTCATTTATGATCTGAAGACATCACGTGAATGCAGTAAGCAAAATCATGTTTGATTGTTTAAAAAAATGAACGTTTAATCAACAAAAGGTGTTTGTAAATTGCTACTTTCCTTATATACATACTTTATGTACATGTATAAGAATCTATTACTACATAGTAATTCAGTACTTTCATAGTATAGAATTTTGGGAAAATTGTACCAGCAATTTGAATTTGTAAATGGCCAAGCCTCATGCTTTTATAAAGAGATGAACTGTTATGTTAAATGTGGTCCATTCAAGTTCTTCACGTCTATTAACCTGTATATGTTTGCAATAAAAAGTTTCATCAGAATCCAAGGAATGAGTATATTGACACTGATTCTGGTTCTTTGCACTGTGGATATGTGAAAATTGTCAATCTGCTTTCTTAACTACAGTAAGTAATTACAGTTACGTGCTTAATTACCAAGAAGATATTTAATTACACAAATTAAATCTTTTTAGCAGGTGCACCGGTTCTTAGCTTTGCTGCTCTTTTTGCTTCCAATTGTCTTTGTCGCGCCAACTTTCGCTCTTCTCGCTTTCTTCGAGCCTCTTCGAATTTATTGATTCCACTTGTGCTACCCGATTCAGCTTCTTCTTAAGTACAAATAACATATTTTTTACCCATAGTCACGTGTGTATATTTTATTCGAATTTTAAATGTAATACCTGGTTGTTCTTGTTGAAAATCTTCAAGAGGTTGAAATTCTGTATCTTCCCATCCTACATCAGGTGCATCAGTTTTTTCTTGTATTCCATCTGCGATTTCCTCTTCCTGAAGATTCAAAATGTTTCTCAGATTAAATTTGTACGGTAAATTAATGTTTTTGATAGTAGAATTGAAAAATGTTGGAAGGCAATTAAAAAAATATGAAAAGGTAAAGGTTAAAAGTGCAAACCGGTTCTTCCTCCAGACTGGTCCATTGATCATGGGGTTTGGGAGAATTAGTTGTTGGTGACACCATTGTATTGCCGGATACTTGTGGTTGCTGTTCCATGTCTCCCCAATTGTCAGCCTCCCAACAATCCCAGTCGCAATCAGAGTTTGAATTTCCAGTATTCTGATTATCATGCTCGTGATCATGGTCCAACGAAGTCATGCTTGTCGCACTACTCGTCGTCGCAGTTGTACTTGCACTACTTTGTGAGCTGCTCGCTTGTTCTAAAATAAATATCAAGTTATATTACACATTAGAGAAATATCCTCTTCGTTTGCAAATTAAGAACCAGATTTAGGGCTTTGCTAACCTAAGGAAGCTGGTTTACTAAGTATAATTCTAGACGCATTGTGAGGATGTGATGACTTTGGAGTATCCGATTGGCTGCGATAGAATTTGGCTGTCACAGCTGTTACAGCCCATCCAGCCCAGGTTGCCGCGGCATTACTAAGGCTAGGTGTAGCAGTGTTCACATCCGCCTCTGAATGAAAAGAATACCTTGTTTAAGTTGTATTTCCTTGAAAAAATAAACTAAGGTGGCATGTATATGACTGCCAATAATCACCCACCCATAGATTCTCGAAGACCTGGATCTTCCGATACTCTTTCTAGCTTAGATAGAAACCCACGTATGGTACGGAAAGCATTATCCCTAACTCCTTTATCTACATCAGTAGTTAAAGGACAGAGAGCAGGTAGTATACGATTTGCCACTTCTTGTAATAGGAAGTACTGTTGCGTTGCAGCAAGAGCCAGAACACTTGCGCTGCGCGCTGGTGGAAATGGATCCCGAGTACCGCGAATAAACGCCCCTATTAGTACCTATAACAATATCTGAAGTAGCTTATCGTTTGAAATTTATTTAATGCCAATGTCTTTCTTGACGATGACCTTTTGTCTAATTTGTGGGTGAAGATGCTGAGCAATTTTCCCAAGGCATACAGTCGTATTCGTTCGAATGCCGCCCTGGTCGTCCTTAGATTGCAGTCTCGCGAAATACCTCAATGTCTCAACATTAAGATTATTATAATCCAGCTTCGGCGCTAAATGTATGATTGACTTTATTGTCTGCTCTCGGACAGCTGGATTTGTATCCAGGAAACCTCGTGCTACCTATTGTCAAAAGAGACACGTAGTATAATGCTCTGAATTGACTTTTTATAATTACAGGTAAAATTAAGAAACTTTTATGATAAGAATACATTTAAAAAAATACCTGTGGAAAAATAGCTTCATTAACAGTGGCTGGCTGCAGGTGATTTACGAATCGGTCTAATTGTTGTAGAAGTCGCAATCTCGTAGCTCTGTCATTTGAAGCAAATAATTTGACAACACATGGCACGACTCGTTTCTGATATTCTGCATCGGGTAGTTGGCGTCCTAACTGTAGGAGTGGCGGTAAAACTGCACTTCCAGCGTCACCAAATTCAAAAGCTGCCAGTAATTGTGGCAAAATTTTATATCTGCCCACACCATCTGGGAAGCTTTCTAATTGATTGGCAAGCTGTTGGAAGAACCGCCCTTTTTCTCCTCGTTCCTTCATTTGGATTTCCTCTAAGAAGAGGAGAGCATCAACGAGATCATTTTTAAAAAATCCTCCGTTACTGCGACAACGTGCAATAACATCGGCAGGATTTGGTCTTCCTTCAGCATTTGCACCGGTTAGTTCTCGATACACTGTCACCAATTGTTTTGGGAGCTTTTAACATACGAATTTTCTTAATAATAAGTATACGTATCTTAAAGGTTAACAAAAATAACTTGATTATGTACCTGGTCAGTAGTTTTTAAATTCGATACTGAATCAATTGGTTTATTAAATGACTCCCAAATCAGGCAACCAAGACCCCACATATCTATTGAGCTATTATTTCAAAATATTAAATAGTTTTAAAAGTGAAGTGTAATATTGAAAAGACTGATTAATAATTACTTAAAATTCACTTAATAATAACCTACCACTTTGTAGGAGGCTTGACATTTTCTTTAGCCTCCGGAGGACAATAAATTTGAAGCGATGGAGGTAATGGAGTATATGTAATATCTACTGCAGTCATGTATTCAACACCACCCAATTTCCATTCTCCACTCTCTTCATTAACAAACACTGACCATAAATTGACATTGTTATGTCGTAAATTACCATCGTTATTTAAAAAGCTTAAAGCTCTCTGAAATGTATATAATTTAAAATACGAATATCAAACTATTCAAGAATTAATTAAAGAGATAATTAATTCATTGTTCTTAGTATACAAATACAAATACTCATTATATTTAATAATAAAAATAAAAAATAATTTTTTTATACATGCAGTGTAGTCAATAAATAAATTAGATATACAATAATACTCACAGTGATTTGAAATATTCCCCAAGAAAAATAAAGATCTCTTTGCAGCCCATCTTCTAATGCAGTCAGTCGAGAGAGTCGACTGTATAATGGTTCAATTCTCTCAGTTGCCAGATAAACCGTCTTCTCCGTCTAAGTTTATAGAAAAAATGTTCAATATATTAAAACAAAGTTCAATTTCAGTGAATTAGTTCAAAAATTACATTAAACGTATAATTAAATATTTACAAGTCTATAAAAATGAGATGTAATAAAACAATTGATATACCTCTAAGCTATCTAGATAAGCAAGTATGCTGGGGTGTCTTAAAGTCTTAAGTCGTTTAATTGCACCACGTGCAACATCTAACAGGTGTTCCCCACCATTTTTAACTTCAAAAACAAACACAGATACATCTTCCCCTCCAGTGGCACCCTAGAGAAACAATATTTCAGTGTAATCCTTTCATGTATAAAAACAATTTCTAATGATAATGATCAATCGCATCAATTAGAAAACAATTTCAAGGTACCTTCTTCTTCGCTTTGTGCAGTGTCCAAATACTCTGTCCTTCGAAGTCAGGATTGGGCTCACCGATCTCATAAGGAAAGTCCTTGGTTGGGTCCCGTGAGAAAAATGACCACATGTCTAAATTTTCCAATTGTTATACTCTCAGAGAATTGAAATTCAAGTTCATCGTCACGCCACGTTATTTCACGACTTTCGATGACAGCTACGCATCGCCGTGATGTGTCACGACGACAGAGTATAAGTTTTTTGCATTCTCAAGTGTTCTTTCAGTTGCAACTTCACCGTGTACGTTCCACCGGCGAGGTCGGATGATAGATCACGTTCGTGCGTACGTTTCCCAGGTTTCCGGATAAATCTTCATTCCGTCGTAGGGAATCAAAGCTAGGAACGAACTGGGTCCCAACCTGGTGACAACCTACACATTTAAGGGAGGCAAGGAATACGTCGTCAAGATGAGAGTCGTTACCCTGAAAGGTTGTCAACGAAGCTTGCAACTCACAGTCACTGATAAATACACCGCGGAAGATTGGCAATCGTCGTACGATGCCACTTGTACGTTTACTTGCTTTTTATTAACACTTATCGTTGTTTAAAGCAATCTGACATTTCGAACTTTGAGGTTATAACAAATGATAAGACAGGCCGAATGATGAATAAGTTTCGTACCACCATCTGGCGACAGTAGCTGAAAGCTACAGCGGTGGAGCGTAGGTAAAGATGATTCAAAGAATGCTAAACTCATTGAGTGAGAGGTAAAATGAAACCCTCCTCAAATTAGCTAATTAAAATAATATTTTTCTTCACGGGCATTCGATCGAACCGGTTAAAATTTTAGCACATGAATCATAACCACCTAAGAAATGTCCTGACACTTTCGGAGGTTAGATTTTCGAAAAAATTGTTTTGACTTAGCCTAGACTAGAACCAAAATGGCATCAAGTTCTCATATTTAGATCAATATACAATTATTGAAGGTTCTGATTTGAGAAATGAACCTGTCAGGACAATTGTACAACAATTTAGAACACTAGTAATTGAGAAACTCGCACGTGAAGGGGATAATGGCAAATAAAGTAACTTGTATCTTCTATGCTGAGACGAAGGTAACACGAGGTCTCGGATAGAAAATTTAGTTGGCACTGAAACTACAGATGGCGTAGGGAGGCACCTTATAGTCAATTGGAGCATCGAAAATATGAAAACGTACCAATCACATGGTACAGTAGTAAGAAAAGAAAAAAAAAACTCAATTTAGGCGCTCTTCGCAATCAAAGGGTTAATTTGCGCCCAATTTTCTTTTATAAGGGTTTTGCATATTTCGTGGGCGATTCGATGCGAAAATTTAAGCAAGGATGCCTTAGTTTCGCAAAATATCCTCTTTAGAGGTGATCGAAGCACTTCCCAACATAACAAACTTGCAAGCAACAATTAGAAGGTTGGAGGCTGAGATAGAGAGATTGCAGTCGGTGGGAATAAATAAACAATTGCAAAAGAAAATCGGACAATTAACGCTAACTAACAGGAGACTAGTGGAAGATTGTAGATTTGAATTAATTACTCGACTTCAGGCGGTTATCAAACAATGGATTTTAATCTCTCGTTAGCTTAATTTTTGTTGGTACAACCTGGTTACACGAATTGCATTAATTTAAAATTGACTAATTATAATTAAGAAATCTCTCGCTAACCACGGATGGTATAATCGGCCCTAAGTAGTTATACTTAATTCAAGAATTAATTTGAATTGTGCTTAAAGAATCATGTGATAATTTGTAGTCACATGCAGCGCGAAAATCGATACTTTTTTTTATCTAAACGATTAGCTACTTACTTTAAACTATTTACCATTATGATAGGTAACAATACAAAAACGAGACTTGCAGTAAGTATAAAAAGAGATATTCATTCAAGGAATTAAACCTTTTAGGCAGTTCCGTCGCCTCTATGAAAATCAGAGATTCTTCGCGTCAAGATGCTACTAGACTTTATAAATTTGGAGCCAAAGGTATATTTAAAGTAACAGTTTAATACCGAAGGAATATTTTAAGCAAGTAATATTTCATTTCAGAAATTGATTTTGGAAAGCTGGAATACAGGATTCATACATTGTAGAAAATGCTAAAGGAGGGGATAAACTTGAAATGAAATGGATGGTATTGCCGCGTTTGTTCTGTGTCCATATATACATATCTGTATCGTTCTGTACGTACTCTAATATATGCTTTATATTTTTATTGGTGTTGATCAATATGTGTTCAATGTTACTTACATACTTTTATGTATATGAACTATTTACAAAAGGTATGGTATAAAGATGGCTTATACAGTAACTCTACTTTTGAGACATCAGTGTTTTCGTTTGAAAGAACTTCTATACTAACCATGAAGTTTTTTTTATAAGCAACAAAAGAATTAAAAATATATTAATAAATATTACTCTTACTCTGAACACTGGTATAATAAATCCAATATTTGATATAACAAATGTTTCTTTAAAACATATTTAAAAAATGAAGTTCTTTCTCATATGTGATGTAAAATAGATTTTTTAACTTTACAAGCTAAGAAGTTAATTAGACTTAAGAATTTTACAAAATTAGTTATTTTGAAATAGTCTTGATTTTGAGCTCAAAACAGGACACCTTCATTCAAGTCAACTTAATTCTTTTCTTTAATCATTTATAGACATTTGCAAACTATTCAATTCTTCCTAAAACACTGTTGTGTCATTGTGACTTCAACAAATGAATGTACATGTTAATTTGATTAACTAAGTTTATCACTTTCTACATTCTTTTTAAAACTCATGATGGCTCGGTGAATTAGCGACTGATTCTCAGTACTTCTATGTGCTTCAACATCTTCTCTTTTAGCGTTGTCAGTTATAGTATTATATATTTCCAATGATGTGCCTATTTTGTTTTCTTCTGTAGTCACTTTCACATCCGGTAATTTACACTTCGTATGTTTTGCTAATTCATTAATGAGAAGTAAAAGATCACGTATTTCCTCCTCTTGTTTCGAAGTTGTTTGGTGTAAGGATTCAATGTCATCTGTGAATTTCTGCATCTGAGCTAGTCGTGCTTCTTCTTTCTTAGTTTCCTTAGCTACTTGTCGAGTATATTCAAAAATAAGACATCCACCGGCAACACTGAAGATGATAATTTCACCCAATAAACTGGCACCCAGCTCTATTGCCATGGTTTCATTTAATTTTGCAACCTTTGTGGGTTTGCCAAGATTCATTAAGTACATTTTAGCCTTTACTTCCGCCCAATGATAGACTACAATCAATTAACTTATATTTACTCCATATAAATAATGACCTTATCACTGTATTATTTTTTTACACTTTCATTCTTTCAAAGTATTTTCCCATTTTTAGAACAGGCTTTTAATAGCTTATTAAAAATGTCCTCAATATTTCTACTTACATTGAGCAGGTGGTATGATAAAATATGTTCTAAAGAAAGGATGATTTTTTGCATTTCTGATAAACATTTGCGTCATGGGTTTACTGATTTGTTTGACAAACAAAACACCCAGTTTAATGGCTGGAAACACTCCAACAACCATCTTGATAGCAAAGTAGTGCCTATTTTATGATCCAATTATCAGGTGTACTGAAACTTAAATAATCATTGTTGCTAAAAATGAATTTCTTATCAAGCGTACAAGGTCGTGGTTCGTTTAGTCAAAGGTCAGAATTATGCAAATACAGCATATGTTGTAACAGAATACTAGAAGTCGCGCCATGTATACGAATCTCAAATTAGTTTAAAAACATTTATAATTCAATTTCTATCTTATTCATCCACGAATCATTGTCGCTTTCTTAATTTCCGAAGTTATTTCCTCACCTTCAAAATCACACTGCAGAACAGCAGACGGCCGTGATGGAGTCATACGTTATTTCTATTGCTGTATTTTAGCATTATGGCTGTGAAGTTTTAACAAACATAAAGAATATATGAATTCGTTTCCTCTTCTTCTATTAATTGACGAAGTATATGCATAACGTAAATCTGTTTGAGAATAATTCCATAACGATTAAAAGAAGGTGTTTAATGTCGGCCTGTCAGCCATATTGACATTTCACCGCCGGAAGGCTAGTTTTCAAGACCGTCACACGTGCTTCATGTATGCATGTATGTACATATTATACATATTATGTCACTGCCATTCATCGATGGTACCTCGCGGACCTACTGCCCTCTCCGGCCGCAGGCGTACTAGCGACGAGAGCAGCGCGGAATTTGAATCGCCCAAGGGACAGAATGGATTTCCTAAAAAAAATAAATGTTTATAAAGAAAAGACAATGAATGAAAATGCCGCTATGAATGAAAAAAAAACGTTAAGTGGGCCAGGGACACTTCACAATAATATATAAATAATTTTCATTAATCGTTTTTGTTTATAAACATTTTTTTTCTTTAGGAAATCCATTCTACTTCTAGGGCGATTCAAATTCCGCGTTGCTCCCGCCGCTAGTACGCCGCGCCGCCGGAGAGGGCAGTAGGTCCGCGAGAAAACCATGCGTTTATTACGTATTTTTGACAATAGCGCTCGTTTCTCATAGTTTCATCTCACGTGGGTTTATTCGCCGAATTACGTATTCGTAGAGACTCATCTCTACAGAGACGCAGAGACGCTTCTCCAACTTTCCCTTTGGCCGATATTTCCGGCCGAGATGGTCGACGGAGCAAATGAGAGGTTCTGATTGGCTGTTGAAAGTCAGGTAGTTAGTTACGACGGAAGTGCGTCATGACGCTGATTTTCAGTAGCTAATCTTGTGGCGATAAGCAGCAACCAATGAGCGAAGCGAATTTTTCCCCTCTACCGTTTTAGTCAAAAAGAATCGGTTTCTCGATTCTGAGTTTAAATAATCGATTATTAAGAAAATCGAATAGTAAAGAATCGATTTTTAAAATCGATTCTTTCACCAAAAGAATCGATTTTTTAAAGAATCGAATCGGAATCGAACATCCCTAGTGAGGATGGACCACGAAGTCCGTGGAGGGTGGAGGTTCGGGGCGCTTCCTGTGGTTGGCGCTAGCCTAAAAAAATTCACGTCAAAAACGCGGCCGAATGTCTTTTCAATGCGACGAAAATGGTGAAGCGTGGGAAAAAGTGGGCATCGAGTGAAGACTTCGGTAGCTCGAATCATGACAGAGGCGTCGGACGAGTAAGTAAACGTGGCTACGAGATGTTTTCCAGCCGCACGGCTTTCGAGGGGAGGGGGATGATGTACACCTCCAAAATCTAAAGTACTCGCCCTCGATCGAGCCGACTTCCGAGGCACGTTGTTCTCATTGAGCCTTGTGTCCGTTTTTCTCGACCACTAAGCAACTGTCACGCTCCTGTATCAACGACACGTGCACCTTCTCGTTGTGCGGTTGACAACTTTTCATTGGTCGTCTTAGAACCATCAGTGTTTGTCCTCGTACTTCTGGAGTAAAGGATTTCTCTTTACTGCTTGCACAGATCAGCATTGCTGAGATGATTGTGCTTTTCGAAGTGCCAATGTTTCCCAGTGATTTAATCCATGAGGTCTGTGGCGAATCGTACTGGCACATTGAGTCGAGACCTTTTCTTTTCTGCTGTTTATAATGGCAACGATATCCACATGTCAACTTGACATGGAATACTAGCAAACTGTGAACATTGGTTCGGTTAATTACTGATTATACTTGACCATCGGTATACTTATTGAATAAAGATTCCGAAAGATTAATTTTGTTACCTCGGTTGCATCTTCTGTTGATTTGTGTTTTATTTAGTAAAAAAATCGTTTATTTCAAAGATATGAAACTGCAACTACCCCAATTTTTAGTACTTTATGCTTGAATATGTATGAAATATTTTAGAAGTTAAATTGTTTAACTATTACAGCACTTATATCTTATAATGTAGGTCATTTTTGTCAACATGAACTAGTTAGCAATTTGATATATTATTCATGTACATTTCAAACTGTAATAACGCATTAAATTATATCATTTTCCTCAACAGTGGTAACTACTTAGTACGGGTACGGGCACAGGTAATGACACGGGACGATAGTTCCGGAGGTTGGGTACCTTTAAGCGGAGGAGGCTTGGCAAATGTCTCTGTGAGGCGAAGACCAACCTTCGTGGGAGGACAACAACCTACTAGTACTAATAGTACCACTATCCCTTCGGCGACGGTCACGTTGACGTCCTCAACCACCAACTCTGTGCATTCCACCACAAGTACAACTGTCAATACTCAAAGCCATGGATCTTCAAGCACGTCACCACCGTGCGCTACTAAAAGAAGACATGAGTACCTCATTTATGGCAAACGCATAACCGATCAATCGGTAATCATTTTTCCATTACTAGCTATTGCATTACCATAGTTACCACCTTAGAGGCATGTGATTCTAAAACCTTATAAATTGCAGGTTGTTCTTAGCTGTACAATAAAAAAGGATTTTGAATATAATAAGGTCATGCCCACGTTTCATCACTGGCGTACAGGAGATAAGAAATTTGGACTAACATTTCAAACGGCTGCTGATGCAAGAGCCTTCGATAAGGGCGTTCGTACAGCAGTCGAAGAACTGTTGGAAGGTTAGAACTACTGCTTAATAGTTGTTCAGGATCTTTAGGAATATGTATTAACTAACCTATCCATCTAACATTTATCTAGTGCATGAATGTGACAATACCACCTGAAAAGTAGTTTCAATTTTTATAATCTTATCGCTATTACTAACTGTACGATTATAAGAGAAATGTGGATAGTATATTATGTGTTTTAACTATTTATTTTATAATTTGTACACTTATGAAAGTATTAACCTGCTCCAATAATTCACTTGCTGCTTTTTTATGGAATACGAATATGGTAAGTACAAGAAAAATTCAATTTTATCATTAACTTTATATCCTCTGGTACTAATTAGTTTCATCATATAAATATCACTAGGACTAATGTTGAATTTATTTTCAGGTCTTGCCGATTCAACTCAATTTGGTGATTCCACAGATGTTGGTGATGATGACGTATTTATGGTATGTAACATACAGCCAACATGATTTTTACTCGCATCGATCACCTGTTCTGAATTAATATTCTGTTTAAATTTTACCCTGTTATTTATTGCAGACACTAAACTTACCAGTAGAACCCCTCGATGTACATCAGTCGGAAACGCGAAGCGGGATAGGTCGCATGCCCAGTTATCATTCCCAGTGCCCAGATCTTCCGGATCCGCACAGACCTATCCATTATATTGACGGGTCGTCCGTCAAAGTACCTCCATCGCAACATCCACTCGAATCGTCCGGGGATGTTGGATCGGACAATTATCCTTACGTGCAGCTCACGACACTTAATCATGAATATTTATACCCAGTCATCGAGGATCATAAGGGAGACAGATTAGATAGGCGCAATTCTGGAGGGTCTCTGAAGAAGCCAGATATAATAGTATCGCAACCTACCAAGAGTCCAGTCAAACGCAACATCCGTTTGCGTTGTAAACATTGCCAGGAACTGTATTCCGAGCAACACAATTCAAAGGGGTCCTGTGAATATGCCCCTGATCCGATAAGGCGAGGAATCGATACAGTGTCTTGCCTCTCTTGTGCTCAGTGCATGCTTTATCACTGCATGAGCGACGCCGAGGGTGACTTCACGCAAAACCCGTGCAGGTATGTATTGACTTTAAAATCAATCAATTCTACCCTACTACTCTGACAAACAGTAACGATTTGACTAGACATATACGGCAGATTCGGTGAGTGTCTGCTGTGGACATCTGTTTACTTTCGGATTGTTTAAAATAATAACTTCCTTAAAACACGTTCAGCAATACATAACGGTAAAGCTTTTTATTTCAGAACCTTTTATCCCCTGTTAGGTTACTACTTTGTGACCAGATTTTGCAATACAATTACTTTGTGCAATTTAAATTTACAATTATTTTAATTTCACTTTCACGTGATTCCCGCATAAGTCTTATTAAAGCCTATATAGGTTGCGGCTCGTTTCTGTTGAGTAAACTTTATGTATAAGTACTGGTCGAGATTTTACATTTTTCATATTATAACATGGATTGTCTGTCTAGTTGTAGGATGGAAGAAGGTTGTGCTCGGCAATGGTTCGGACTGGCACTGCTGTCGATGATCGTTCCTTGCTTATTGTTTTATCCACCGCTAAGAGCCATCCACTGGTGCGGAATGACCTGCGGGATGTGCGGTGGTCGTCACTATCCCATGGAATAACTGGAGGAGCCCTTTGATATCTCTGCTCCATTCTCAGTCGAGCTGGAACATTTGACGTCGTCGCGGAACGTAGTGGCCAATGTTTACGAATGTCACGACTTGAATATGGGCCGGTGTCAGAGATATCAAAGGGGTAGGCAGCTTCCGGTACACGCGCTTATTCATCAGCGTCACCTCTGAGTCAGCATATGCACCATTAAAAGAAGAAACGACGTGAGCACAACCTATCGCATTTAATCTTGACACGTGTACGCTCGCCAACTGTGTATATTTTGTTAGTAGATCGTATTATCTATATATGGTCAGACGTTTATCGGGCCGCCCGGTAACTGAGCAGTTATTTAGTACTGGCACAATGTGCAAAAACCGATAGCTCGCGGACACTGATCGTACCATTATCCTGTAATGGGGTACCGCGTGCTTTTTGGTCCACCGCACAATGAACGTCATAAGGAATAAGGATCTGCGAAAAGGTTTTTAACTGACGTGAACGTCGAGCATCTAGAAGTGTCTGAAAGCATGTGTTACAGACAATTGAACCGGCTCGTTTTCATATTCCAGTTTGCAACAAAATATCCGGGAAAAAGGGACGGTGTCGCGAGGAGTTCTCTCATTTATTGTATCACTGATGTTTGTATGCTGATTCTAACGTTTTCTATTGTTGTGGATTAGACCTTTTTTTTAATCTCTTAACATGCTATTAAAATAGAGTTTGTATTTTCGGTTTTTGTAAGAAGTGTAAGATAAGTTACTACCGATTATAATACCCATCTCTTTGAAATGTCTTAAAGACAATATTTTAGAAGTGATCTGTAATTAGACTCACACGATGTAAATATTTCTGCGTTATAATTTTGTGTAATTCTATATTTTCTTTGTAGGGCTCTTCTTAAGCATACATGTGAGACCTGGTTCAAATATCTGTAATTGCAGACTTCAATGATGACGCCTTCGAGATGATAATAATGGCTACGTTATACGTCTGCTAAATGCCTTTAACTTTTCGACACTGTTATTCCAAGAAATCATCAATATTTTTTACCTGCAAGTATACACTGCTTGGTATTCTAACGTTTATATTTCGTCTCTTATTCCTTACACTTTTTATTACGTGCGGTTTTTGAATTCGATATGATGTGAGGCTTAGTATGAACACACGGACTTTTACCATGGGCACAAATGGACACTGCTTAAAACGGGCTAATCCACTCGCGTGGTGGCCGGTAATATTTTCTAAGCACACGAAGTTTACCTTACGTTTTACTTAAACCCGGAGAAATTACTTCTTAACGTGACAATGCCTTCAATTTGAGCGAGATAGAACATAATGTAATAAATAAGCTGTTTCGTTTGAACCATCTTTACTGGATGGTCCATAGGTGACATCAATACTTAGCTCATCATGGAAAATATAGTCTAATACCGTTGAAATCTAGGAATGGCAGAATGAGAAGTACATTATTGCTATTTGTTGCTCATTTTCAAATTTGCAAAGAAATGCACGAGGAAAATCCCATATGATTGCTTTTCGTACAACAGTAGCTACTCAGAAACAAGTGGTTAATTACTTTTTCGGTATAAGTAAACGGTACTTGGTAATGAAAGCGCAAAAGCACCGATGGAAATTTAAAACTAAACAACAGCCTGTCTTGTTGCTACCTTGATTATGTATTATGCCAGTCAATGATTTTTGACTTTATCGAAAGTTCCTTTTTCAAATATGTTACGTTGTTATATTAACATAAGACTTATTCGAACTGTGGAAAGTAGAATGCACTGATATTCAGAAATATTGAGCCTGGACTGGCTCCACGTTTCGTGTTGGCAACATACCGATCAAGAGACACGACATCATCTCTCTAGATCTCGATTCTGACGAATACAACAGTATTAAAAACAGTTTCCATTTTTTCTCTAATTATTTTTAAATGTTCTTTCCGAAGAATCTAATCCAGCCAACTTTGAATGCACAATTTTCACGTTGGATTGCTGTTCCCATCGTAGAATTCAGATGTTTTTGCTCTTATCGATCCTACGGCATTTTTAAGATTTTACCGTGTTATACACGTTGATTCTGATATTGCGTGTTTTTCTTTCTGCGACCATAATATTCGTGTAATGAAATTTCAATAGCTTTTTATTTATGATTGTTACATTATCCATGGGACTACTCCTTTCTTAATTATGCCGACTACTTCTATGTCTTACTAGTGTTTCATACCGATATGATTAATTTAATCGATCGTCGGATTTTGATAATGATTTTTCCGTTAATATTATTAAGGCTTATAAATCACCTAAAGGCCCCGTACTGTTATTAAAATCATAAGTGTCAGGCCCGTTTTAGCCAATATGAGAATTTTCTATAGGCGACACTTATTAATTGCTGTAAAGAGAAAAAATGGAAAAAGGACAGTTCTTCCGGCTTCGTGATTTTCAACGCACTCCAAAGAACCCAGAGAGCCTGCTTTAATATTCGAATGACGTATCCCGAAGTTGGTACACGCGTAATACAAATAAAAATGATATAATAAGTAAAAAAAACCATCCACATCTGCCACATCCGCAGCTATTGGATATGACGTAGTTAGCAATTGTTTAAAGTAATGTACACCGTAAATTACCACGTTCGCCACCAGAACAACTGGCGAGGAAACTGTTACACGATTGTCAGTCGCCGGTGCCTGCCGTGGCAGTGAACGTGTTAAACATGTAAAATACCGTAAGTTTTTCTACAGATAAGGGAAACGCGACTAGTTCTTGATGAGCGTAAGTAACGTGGTTCTTATTAGCTCACTTACTTTTGAGAGTACGTTTTAGCTCTCCTCGTACAGCACAAAATGTTCAAGAATGTAAGCACCACTGTCATTAGAGCTATTCAAGTGATACGCAACATACTTTTCTCCCCATTTTTGATACCTACTCAGTCTCATGTAACGCATTAAAAAGAATAACCAAGTATTTCAAATGTAAATGTTCCCTTAGCATCATTACCTGGAACGGCACTTTTTCAGCTTTTGACAAAATCTCAGCTTTATCCACATTTCTACCGACTGTTTGAAACTTACTCGTAATCTTGTGTACTTCGTGTTAATTTCTTTCATTCCATTTCACTTTTATTTCAAACAGAACCTGTAATGTACTAGTTCCCTTGATTATGTACATTCCCTCTACTGAATTTTTTTATTTTTCCTTCCCCAAGAAGGAATGCGTATTTTAATTTATTAATTTCTGGATATCTCCTTGACGATTTCATTTAAAAAAGAAAATATGTTCGGCTTTCTATCGAAGCCCTCTTGTGCTCCTATATAATGAATAGTAACATCGTAAGTACTTGTAAAATGTCTTGTATGTATTATTTGAATGGCTGCTTTCTGGCTTTGTGCTGTACGAGTATGTCCTATTCAGTCGACTTTTTACCTATCGATGCAAATCGGGGAAAATGGAATTATTTAAAGAACACGGTGATAGGCTCAATCTCGTGAAAATAAAAAGCTACGAACGCGCATTCTTTCGAGCCCTGGTATCGAATCCTTTTTTACTGTTTCTTCGCGTTTAATGCAAGTCTGCGACACTCGCACTATTGGACGGAAAGTGTATGTATAATGCAATTATTCGTTGAGAGTAATTCTGTATCTTTCTTTTTTTTTCTCTCTCTCTTTTTCATTGATCTTTCCTTTTTATAAGGGGAATTGCTGTTCACTGCGCTGGACACGTATCGGAGGTATCATATCTAAGGGCTCGATATCCTCAATGAAATTACAGACTGCAAATGTACCTGCTACGGGTCCTTAGATTAGCTTCTTCTAGATTTTTTTAGAGCCTGCAACCTCGAATCTGTGCTGACTTCTTTCACAGAAAAACCTGTAACGCATTTGTTTTATTTAAACGATTACTCGTATTTACACCAAAAGCATTTCGTGTCTTACTTGAGACTAATTATTTTTTTACGATCCCTAATCGAGGCGAAACGAATTGTTATACATAAATAGGTACATATTCGATTCCCTTTGTATAGATGTCTTCTTAGTCCTCACGTGTGGAGTACCATTTGAATTGACGAGTATAAATATTCTTTTTGACGTAGGTGTGGATGTTACGAATTTCAATGAAATCTCTTGGTTTGTGTTATAATAGCTTATGCTCATATGTGTTAAAGCGATTATATCAATGGGATTTTACATTCTTTCTTCGTTGTTACATGTGCATCTTCTGTGTAACTTTCTTTCTTATAGATGTCTAATGATGATGAAAGAAAAAAAAACAAACAAACAAAACGTTTATCCTTATCGTGTTCTCTTGCAATAGAATCTTATTAGCATCGTTTTATTGTACATTATCTTAATGTATCTAAATTTGCGGTAATCAGTAATACCCAACAATCGATGTAATATCGTTATAATTATTTGTCAGTTAAGATAGTCCTTTGTCGCTTAATTTCTGTACTTGATTTGTTGATTAGATCCGCAATTATGCTGGATCAAAGACGGAAGTAATGTTACTCTTTGTCTCGTGATGAAACGAGTGTTCATGCGTTTTACTTAATGTCAAAATAGGAAATCTAGCATTACGCTGTTCCTGTGATCATTATTTCGTTGCTTTAGTAATTAGTTCCCACATGGTGCAAGCTGGAGAGAATTTTGTCGGGATAGATTCGTAATGGATGATAATAGAGGAATGGAATCGATCGGGATAAGATGTGAAAATGATTGAAAATAGCGTTGCGGATGCATCTCAATTTAATGCATTTCTTTTCTCTTCCTTTCGCGATAAATGGAGAGGAAGTTAAGAACTGTGAAATCTATTCTGTTCTCGACAGTTAAACAACATGTACTTATTGAAGGATTTCGTGTAAATTATGGAAACTTATTGAAGGATTTCGTGTAAATTATGGAAATAATATATTCAATAATGTCTCTTAAAGCACGAGCTTCTTTAATTACGAATACATAATCTCGATAACGATCTATACAAGGGGAGAGTAAAATGTACAAGAAAGGTGCTTTTTCAAGCGGATAATAATGTATTCGTTGGTATTGACTTTTTTACGGTTTTGTATATTCAAAAGGTGACGGTGTGTTCCTAAGGTCTCAGAGGAGTACACTTGTAGTTTTTTTTTTGTTTTCTCCTTAGAGTAGCCATAGACATAATATTGTTTTGTACGCTCTTGTACAAGTAAACGCGCGCACGAGAGAGTTTTAACGTGTACATGATCGAAGAATTTCCTCTTCGGAAAGTCGAGTTTCAGATAAAAATAATAACAACGTGTAGGGAAAGAAACAATATGCGGCATCCTAAGTTATATTCTATTCTTCTAATGCCAGTACTCCTTCAAGCGTTCGTTTCAATTGTAGTTTAGTATGCGACCCTCCAAAGAGCTTCGAACATTCTACTGTTACGATTTGATGAATCTGGATCAAAGTTAGAACCGATTGAAAACATCCAGTGTCATTTAATTGTGCTTCATCATTGCGCCATTAATTGTAGTATTACATTTAAATTATTAAAGATTCCGCGAGAAGTTTGTAAACGCTTTTGGTAGGAAGCTCTATGACATGATTCAAAGTCACAAATCGTTGAAAATTGTGAAGATCGAGCGTCTCTCAAAGTGTACATAATATGACGTTGTTTACTGCCATGGTTATCATTTAATTTAGTCGTTCGTGTAATTACCACAATTTTACTAATTTGAAGTATTACATCGATATATCCAACGTACACATTGTATGTACAATAATCTATAATATTGTGACACTTTTAGTTAGAAATAAGTACAAAAGCTATTTTCCCAATAAGTCAGTTACGATGACTCATACCAAATGAGGATATGCATGTAATCATCTTAAAAGGTACAATGCCGAGTGGATGTGTATATTTCAGTAGACGAAGAAAATTGTAATTAAGTTGCTGCCGTTAATAGAGTTTGAATGCAAGATGTAAATGTGTTGAGAATTATATCGTGTCTATAATTACATTGATCCATGATAAAATGGAGGTTATTATAAAGTAACGTGTAACAATGATAGCGACGATAATTATCGGGAGAGAGAGGAGAATGAATATACATGTACAAACGAAAGGTCAAAATTGCGTACGTGTATTAAGAGTGTGAGAGAATGCTCAATTGAAGGAGGTTCACTGAGGTGCCCTGTCGTTCTTATCAATAATTTTAATCGCGTCAGTGGTCATACTAAAGTGGGACGACTTCGGTTGTTGAATCCATTTTGCAGGGTTTTCCATGCATGTTGTAAATGCTGCGAGATCAACGAGTAAGATTTTAATTCACCAATTCATTATATCATAAATGTTTAAATCTTATATCACTGTAATTAAATAAATATGTATTATAATCTCAATGAATGAAAAATAAATATATTGTATTATGACGTAACACGTGCCTTTATAAGTTGATAATATTTGAATGAATTATTCCTATAGTATCAGTGCATCTTACGTAATATTATTTACATAGCACTGGTCTCAGGGTGAAAAATCTAAGTTTGCATCGCATGATGTTAGTGCGCACTGGGTGTATGCCCATCAACGTAGAAATTCCTTGTAGCTTTTGGTAACTCTAATTCGATACCTTCTAATTCTTTTGTTAATATAATTTGACATCCTGAAAATAAATAATTATCATTTGATCATGTTATTGCTTTACAATGTACTGATACAATTCTTCTCGAAATTACTAGCATTTTAATATTTGTAGATAGTTTCACATATTTCAATGATAATGGACATAAGTATTTTCAGATATTTTTACCTAATCGAGAATTTTCCTTTAAAAAGGGAGCTAGATCCAAAAGATCTTCTTCTTTCTCTTCAGCAACTGGTAATTTATCCACATAATCATGATGAACATAGACATGACAAGTAGTACAAGCAAGGGAAGCTTCACACGCTCCTTCCATCTCGATATTATACCTGTGTGCTAAATATAATACATTGTCTCCAACTTTACCTTTAATAGGTATTCTGCTTCCATTTTTGTCTATAAAAATTACATTTACCCTGGAACAGTTATTTGTATATGATCCCATCAAAATTCTGTTTATTTAATATCTTTATGGTACAACATGTAATTTAGATTACTAATGACAGTATTAAGAACATTTTACCTACACTTCATCTTCTGATTTTGGATCCTGGAATTCATACTCCCCATGAAGAAGTCCTTGAACATCAGCAAAAAAAGGTAAAATCATGTATAGAGATCTATTCAAAACACGTTGAAGTTCGCGCTATACATATAACGCCACCTAGCCGCCAGTGACATTTTATACAAATAAATGATTTACCTTTGGATGTATGCAGTTGAAGGCTTGTTTTTGTTAAATTATTTCGTAGACCATGATTTCGTCTCGTTATACAGTTAATGAGTAACGGCCTCAGTGCAAATGTCATCTCTTATTAATTTTTAGGAATGGTTAAAATAATAATTACATGTACGTAGGATGTAAAGCTAAATCCATCAATTTTACTCACAATCGCGTACAATAGAAACTTATTAACCAACCTGCAACTTAGGTTAACTAAATACAAAGAGGCGAAACGTCTGCTTGCGTCTGATTCTGCCAGATTCTGCCAAGCTTGCACGTGGTTTCAAGCATGATTTATAGGGTTGAGTTGGGAGATTGCTTACGTGCTGGGTCGCGCGATCGCGTTATGTGCTGCCCGCAGGAGAGAATGCAGGCGGCTCGCGCACTTGCCACCTGATACCCCCCAATGGCAGCCCAAGTCAGGGATCGTTCTCTTCTCTGCTCCCAATTACGTTACGTTATTACGTATCACGTACTCCCAAGCACGTGGTCGAGCGGCTTCGCCGGACAATTACATTGACAATCGCTCTTAATATATTTCCTAGAGATATCAACCCTCTCCGGTCGTCACTATATCGATCGATTGTCAAACGATGAACTATTTTATTTAAAGAAAATATACACGGTAACGCAAAGCTCATGGATGCTATTTCCGTATGTCATATTTTCAGAATCACAAAGAGTATTACAGTTCACTAAAAAATAAGAAAAAGGGGATTAAACAAATTTACCTATCGTTGCAGTTTTCGTTTTATTTTTAAACAAATAAACAACGTAGCAGAAAATGATATCGAGTACCAACGAAAGTGTGGGATACGATTAGGAATGTATGCTAAAATCGAGAATGATATAAAATAAAAAATAGAAAAATTATTAAACATTGGTAAATTTACCCCGCGGGATAAATTGCCCCGATCTCCCCTATTCTAGCGCACTTCCGGTCCGGGAGCCACGATGCTGATTACCGGGGGGCGCCGAAAAAATATAACTGGAATTGCCATCTTACCATATGTAATGATTACAACAAATAAAATTATAATTATTNTGCGATCGCGCGACCCTGCCCGTGAGCAATCTCCCAACTCATCTCTGTAACCCACACCTCTCAACAATTTTCGATTTATAAGATACATACCTTTATTTACTATATTACTAGACTATAAGTGCTAGTGATCTCGTTCTTTCATATAGCGAATACGTAATTCGGCGAATAAATCCACATGAGATGAAAGTGCGGGAAGTGAGCGCGCTCGTCAAAAATACGTAATAAACGCCCTACATGCAAAATTAAAATTGTATGCGAGCATTTCGAACGTTTCATCTCGAGTTAACTGGAGCTTAATTGGTTTACAGCAGGTTTAAACCAAGTGAAAACAAGTTAAACTTCGGTTTACTCGAGTTCTCGAATTGGACTAAAATGTATGTACATGCACATGCTCTCAAAATCAACCCCTTGAGAAGCATGTGCACTGATTAGATGCGCCTCCATCATTTTATAACCTATCAAGTCTCTGTTTATTAAATCTTAAATGTGGAGAAAGTAACAGTTTAATATGTTTGTCAGCCGTAAGTATCAATAGTAAATGCACCATACATTCAATATGTATTAATTTTTAAAACGATAAGTGTTACAATCGTCAGGACACTTTTAAAAGCTTCGTATTCAGGGTTATGTACTACTACATACAGATCTATTCATTGATTGGATAAGCTTACTATATATATGTGAAGTTTTGGCGGGAGAACTCATTAGGTGGTCAAGACTGAGGTGATTGCATTCTTTTTAAGCTTAGTTCCGTTTTAATTTCGTCATATATGAAATAATTTATAAGCCAAGTTAATATAAATGTAATGTAAATCTCTATATATCTCTAGAATATAAAGTAAAAGAAGTGAAAAGGTTTATCTATAACTTAAATGTGCAATGAATATCTTTGCTACAACATTAATGCTCTTTTAACTTTTTTTTTCTTTTAACGTTTTTAACGACATTAACTATATGACTTTTCTATTTGCATTACAGATAAAATTACATTAAAAATAATCAAGATGTCCCGATCACCCGTAAAAGTTTTCAATCGTCCATTTACTGTATGTGTCGAAGGCAACATAGGAAGTGGAAAAACCACATTTCTAAGTCATTTTAGAAAGTATGATAATACAACTGTTTTACAAGAGCCCATTGAACTCTGGCGGAATGTTGGTGGAACAAACCTCTTGGTAATATATTACTTTAAACTATTTAATTTATAATGTTTTATTAATACGCATTGTTACAAAATTATGAAATTAAATTTGTACATTAAAGTAATTTGGAATTATTAATATTTATATTTACTTACAGTTATATATAGTATTTAATAATGGTGATAATACAACAATTCTTTCTAGGACTTAATGTATAAGAATCCAGGCAAATATTCCTTTTTATTTCAATCCTATGTTCAATTAACAATGTTGCAATTACATGCACAACCATGCCATCGACCATATAAAGTTATGGAAAGATCAGTTTATAGTGCTTGCTGCTTCATTGAAAACATGAGACGTACAAAGGTATTAGAGGATGTTGAAACCAAAGTATTAAACGAGTGGTATGACTTTTCTTTGAAAGAAACAAAGATTGAAACTGATTTAATAGGTAAATTGGATTTATTAAGTTACTTTTTGTTGTATAATTTTATATTAATAGATTACTCGATTCTATTGAAATAATTCCAGTGTATCTCAGAACAACACCTGAAGTTGTATATGAAAGGATGCAGGCTCGTGGTCGTAAAGAAGAAACTAGTGTATCTCTAGAATATTTAAGACAAATTCATCAAATTCATGATGAGTGGTTGAAAGATGGTGCACTCTTTAAGCTTCCAGCTCCAGTAATGATTTTGGACGGTGATAAAAGCTTGAACGAGATGGTTCACGAATTTGAATTATGTCGTGAAAGTATTTACTTGAACCAAGAACCAATAGATGACCGAATTATAAAAAGATTATCAATTGTCTCTCAATCTCCTGGTATGCAGGGAAAAGTTAAAGCAGGTGCTTCGTCATAAGGTACAAATTTTGACATAAATGTTTAATAATAAAATATTTTTAAACGACCAAGAACAACTTGTCTGACAAAATAAATCAGTTATTATTTCCATGATCTGATATTGCCATGCAAATTTATGTAGGTAAATGCAGAAGAGTTACACTTGTTTTCTATTAAATTTTATAAAACATTCCTCTTATAACATGTGACATTGTATTAGTTGTAAAGTATGAAAAAATTTATCAATGTATATACAATATTCTATTACAAAAATAATTAAAACAGGTTATAATTGTGTCTAAGTTTGGTAACATAGGTTATAACATCCAATTTGTTTTATTTAAATTAGAACTACTGAATTCTTTCTATAAACATGTAATTGACATTATTTTTCTAATCATTTGTTCAGTAAGGAAATATAACATTACATGTTTTTTCGCAATACTTATTACACATCAATTTGAATTTTATCTTTAAATGTGTGGAAATGAACTCAATATTAAATCTCTTAACAAGTGGGACGTTTTACATAAACAAATATGCTTAACATTCTTTGTTTTCTGCTTGATCTACTTGGTTTACATAAGAAAGAATGGACAATTATATTGATATCAATATTATAACCGCTGTTTTTTTAATATGTATACTCATTTCATTTTAAGTACACTTTTGTTTATTACTTGAGAACTATGATAGTTACTTTCGACCTCTGTCTAGAACAGTATTTTTAAGGATATTAATAAACAACAATTATAAAATGTTATAAGTAATTGATTTTGTAAGTATTATTCATGTGTAGTATTGTTATAATAAAACTGACCACAAACTATGATACGATACGTTCACTGATCATATATATTAATGGTATATGATACAAAGCTTATTAAAAAAAATGTATCTTTATATAACATATGCTTTATCTTACAAATAATCCTTGATTCTGACAGTTCAAACACAAAGAAGGAAGATAAAATATATTAACAATTTTACTATTGTAAGTGTTTACTCGAGACATATTACTTTGTGGCATAATCTTTTTGTGGGGAAAATATGTTGAATATTTTCTTCGTAACCTGTAAAATACTCATCTCTGATCTTGGTTCATCTTAATTAATTTCCTGCAAATCTATAACGATAATCCATGCATCCGAACTAGTCTCTGAACACAATCGTATTCTTGGCAGGACCACATAACTGACACTAAAATTCCAAGTTGTGCATCTTTTGTATTAGCTTGCTTCCAGTCAAGGAGTATTTGATAAATCACCTGAAATAAAGATATTTTTGTAATTAGCTATAAATGTTTACAATTTTTTCTTTACTCGATATAAAGACAATGAATGATAATGTATTCATTACCTGATTTATACCATATTCTCCATAATTCTCTTTAAACTGATCCATTTGACCTTCTGAATAACCAAGTTTTCTAGCAACATCTCTCCACCCATGCCCAATATGTGTTTTGATTAGAAACATATCATCCATTGTGATTTCTTTTTTGCACATACTTAAAGCTTTTACATCTTCTGTCATTTTTTTCTCCTTTGGCTTCAGTGGTACATCACTGGATGATGTACGTTCAGAAAATTGATTAATGTTACAAACATAGCTAGTTTTGGGGCCAATTTGCACTCCGTTTGAATTTACAATATTATAATTTATCACTTTTGCTGTGGAAAACAATAATAAAAACTAATTATTTCTTCCAAATCTTCAAAATTTAAGTTTTAATGACATATGTTTTCTTTACAAAAAACATTTTGTTCATTAATATACTTTACCCTTTGATTCTGTCTTGGCTTGAGAAGCTTTAGTTTTGAATTCTGTTCTTCGTTTCTTAAATTTATCAGTATTGTCAATTGAAGGTAATTCGGTGTTTATTTTTTTAGTATCTGACGTGGAGTTAACATTCTCATTCTTAACTGTACCCCCTTTTGGAACTGATGATGTAGATTTCGTTCTAACTTCAGAAGGAGGTGGTTCTAAATTATTTGTATATGCTGCGTTTTGAATCCTTGGAGGATCCGGCTTAGAATCAGTTGTCAGCAAATGTAATCGTTTTGATAAACTCGATAAAATTGGCATTTTAAATTCTGAAAGCGTGCAATTATTATAATGCTGGAAAAAACGTCCTACATCTATGATGAGTGGTTATTTCAATAAACGATGTTTAATATATGGGTCATAATATTACGTTGTCTTAATGTAGCAGACAATAAAGAGAACAATAAACTGACTGTTAAATACACATTAAATGGGATATTGAATATAATTTATTATGGTATAATAAATATTGACTAACTAACAGATTTAATTAAATTAACAAGAACAAGAATAATCATATATTAACATAGTTTGTGCAAATGTAAATCAACCGTCACTATTTATGTTTTTGTAAAACTCAACACAAGGAATAATTCTAATAAAATTTAAGTAATCACCTATTTCAGATTCTTCTCTTTGGAACCTCAGTACCTGGTTTTTATCTTTTACAGGAAACTATTTCAAAATGTAAGTTTCCTAAGTCTGCTTTTTCGTATGATGCAAATCTACAAAAAAAAACACTAAAAACTTATTTTTAGACCCACTCTTTGTTTCATGTTTTATATAACTATACATACATACAACTATTCACTCTTCTCCAGAAGTACGCTTTAATGTGATACCTTGTTGAGCTGTCTTTAAGCAAAGAATTCTACACCGATCGTCAATGATCGTGGCACTACTCGATCGATAAAGAACTTCTAGGATGAACGAACTTTCAGCTGAAAATTATTACACGTTACGAAACAAATAACGATCAATTAGCAGACGACATATTTTAAGTCAATTTTGAAAAATATATAAATCTATCGTTAGACTGATTTACAAACTTCTGCATCGTCAATGCTAACACTGCACTTATTTGCAGTGCGTAAAATCGATTTCTTTATGATTGACAGTGATAGTATTTCTAAGTGATTCTAATTCGATTTTTTTGTTTAAAATTTTGTAAACCTACAATTCCATACAGGGTTGTACCTAATTCTAGTAAATTTGAAAAACTGTAATAAATTGAAATAATAGTAGACTCAGTAGATAAAACGGTCAATACAGAATTTTCTGAAAGAACTAAAGATTGTACTGAGTTTTGAAAATCATCGAAATCTTTTTAGCTTTAGGGATTAAGATTAATGTACTTATGATTATAGAACGACAATTGTTCTTATGTGGTTAAATTCTCGTCATAGGGAACAACTTTTACGCAAGAAAATAACAATCATTATTTTATAACTCCAGTGACTTTGTATCAAAGATGAGTTTGTATCGTGTCAGCTATTCAGTTTATCTTTATTATCGACAAATGATTCCCTGTCAGTTTATTCTATTTCCGTGAGATGGAGCCACACATCCGCCGGTAATGTAGCGCCATCTAAAACGCGGGTACTGACCAGTAATTCAAAATATAAGCAGCAAAGAGCGATAGTCTGACAGAATTTATATTACTTTGACATTTTATTAGGAGAGATATTTTGTAGCATTGCAATTTGAATTACTGAAAATTCAATTACATATATTTATTATCTAGTACCATAGGTTGATAAGGTGTCGAGTCTACTGTTAAAAATCTCCTTCAGATGGCGCCTAGTTATTCGTATCGATACCCGTAGTCCGCTATAATTTTTGTGTGTCATTTATTTAACATCATGTAAATATGTGAAAAATAATCGGAGAAATAAAAATATTGTTAGTTTTAATGTTTACGTGCGGAATTCAGTGTTCGTACAATTGCATGTTGCAACTCTCAGAAAGTCTTCGTTAAATATCGGTTTTCATGACCAGTCTTGCAACGCACCGCTTTTCATTAAATTTGGATCGCAAATGAAATGGAAAAATCCAACAACAGAAAAAAATACGACCAAGCTTTGTAGAGTGGGGAGCAATACCGAATTCTCCACGAGAGCAGCATTCAAGCATTTATTGAATGGCCACTTGTAAATTCAACAATACATAGAATAAGATCTTAATGCTACGATTCACAAATATCCTGCAACGAAGGCTCTGTATATTAAAAAATAAGGATATTTCATTGTTTAACGACAGGTATACCCCCTAGTCCACACAAAAAGTGAGATGAACATCGAACGAACACTGCCTTTACGTTCACCCGAACTCCCGGGAATATAACGGCAATTTTTACTCAACTATGGAACCTGTTACCGATTCAAATACTAAAGTTACATTTAAGAAATGGAAAAATACGGATTAAACGAATATCGTTGACATTCGACACCTTTACGGCATAGGTAGGGTTTTTCGAGAAAGTAGTCGAAAGTAGTCGAAAGTAACCGACGTCGCGGGTCAGTGGCGGGGCAAAGTAGCCGGCGCGGCGTGCCGCGGCGTATCCGGGTCGGCGATCGCGGGCCGCGAGGGCGCAGCGCGGCCACTTTCGCTCGCGACTGTACCGGCGCGTGGAGAGGCCATGCCTAGGGCCGCGGGTCCCGGGTCGGGGTCCGGCGCGGCGCGCGCGTCGATTGGCAGCGGCGCGCGTCGCGCCGGCCAGGCCGGCCAATGCGGGCGCTCTTCGGGCGTTTCCGCGGTCCGTCGGGTCGAGCGGGGTCGGCGCGGCAGCCAACGGAAGCGCGGCACCCGCCCAGTCGCGGGGCGCCGACCAATCGCGGAACGGCTCGAGCGCACTTCTGCCGCGAGAAGGACTCCTCTCACACGCAAACGGCGAAAGGGGACATCTCATCAGGACTCTTGGTAGCAGGCACTTCTCCGTAGTGGGCACTCCACTCGTCGTGTCGTCTACGGGTTCGCGAGGCTGTGGGCTTCGCCCGGGCGAGCGAGCGAGCGAGCGAGCTGGCGCTGGTCGAGTGGGTCTAAGCGGCCGTGAGGACCTCTCCAGGAACCCAACGGTCCTCTCTATTCATTCATCCATCCATCCATCCATTCATCCATTCATTCATCCATCCATCCATCCATCCATCCAGGCATCCATCCATCCACCCATCCATCCATCCATCCTTCTATCCATCCATCCATCCATCCATCCATCTATCCATCCATCCATCCATCCATCCATCCATCCATCCATCCATCCATCCATAGAGCCGTTCCTCTCGCGGATAGCGAGAGAGAGACGGCGGGCGGGAAAGAAAGAGGGAGCGAGAGAGCGTATCCTCGACGCGGCGAAGCCCAAGTAGAGTGTGCACACTACCATCGTCTATCGGCAGAGTCCAAGGACTCGAAGACGAACCGAGTGATTTCAGTCGGCCGCCGGCCGGCTGCCGGCCACTCCTCAGCCACGCGTATCGCCCGAGCCGGAGTCAACCTCGCCGACCCCCAGTGACCGAAATGTGCCGGGAGCGGGCCCGCGCCCGGAACCACGAGACGCCCCGAGGCCGCGCCGGCAACGCGAGCCCTGGAGCGCCGCTTCCGGTCCACTGACGGCCAAGCCAACGGACGTGTCCCAGGTACGTCGCATCCATTACAGTGCCGCCGGAAGTGGTGGGGGAGCCAGGGCCGCGTCCTCGGGGCTTCGAGGTGGTGCGTGGGACTCGAGGAACTCGCGTCGTCGACTCGGCCCGCCGATTACGCGGCGCAACGGGGGACCACGTGGCCGGGTCGGACCCGAACGGTCAACCCCGGTGCTCGACTCGGACTCGTCCTCCCCGCTGACCCTGGGCGCGGATGGACATTTTCCCGCTGGTTTTGTGGCTCGATTGGCGCGTCGGGGTGCGGAGGACGCGAAGTGCGGTTCACGGGAAGTAAAGAAGCAACGTCGCGGCTACCATCAGGTCGGGTCCTAAGCGACGTCGAAGCAGAGAAGGAGGGAGAGAAACAAAGTGCCGAAGGTGCAACGAGTGGCCAGTTTGCGGTAAATTCCCCTGGCCCAAAAGCGGCCAGGACGCGGACGTTCCTCGCCGTCTGCCATCGGGGGTGCCGTCAGGAGGATTCGGCGGACCGAGGCGCGAAGGATCTCCCGAGGGACGCCGCCGAGGAGTTCCGACGGCATGTTAGCGAGGCGCCGGAGGACTCCGAGAGAATCGCGGACGGAAGCCTCCCTTGGAGGCAGCGGCTAAAGTCCGGCATTCGGCGCGGCAAGGATCGGACGGAGAGCTCGGGGACCATGTCGACCCGTCGGAGTCGTTAGTGCCGATCCACGATTCCGCGCAACGTCACCCTGAAGTATTTCTCCGGGGCCGAGGTCGCCGAAATGAGCGGAGGCAGCGGCGGCGGAGGCGGCGGTGGCGGTGGCGGCGGTGGAGCCGGCGGAGGCGGCCGGGGCGGCGGCGGAGGCGGCGGCGGCGTCCAGGGCGGCGGCAACGCCGCGGCCGCGAGCTACCACCAGCACCAGCAGCATCAGCAGCAGCAGCAGAGCCAGCTCGAGCAGGCGGGCCTGCTGCCCGACCTGAACGGCGTCGACCTGGCCATGAGTCTCTCGCCCAAGCAGCACGTCTCGCACGTGCAGGCCGGCGCCGGGGCTCACACGACCCCCTTCAGCGTGACCGACATCCTCTCGCCCATCGAGGAGTCCTATCGCAAGCTGGAGCTGGCCGCGGCCGCGGCCGCCGTCGGCGTCGGCGTCGTCACGCACCCCCAGGGCTCGCCGTACGCGAACGCCTGCGGCGCCCGGGTCGGCGGCAACACCGGCAGCTCGAGCGCCAGCAGCGGCAGCCCCCCGCTCCACGGGGGCTCGACCCCCGGCGGCAGCACCCCGGGGCCCGGGTCCGCGGCGAACGGCGCCGGTGGCGGCGGCGGCGCCGGCGGGGCCGCCGCCGGTGGTGGTGGTGGTGGTGGTGGTGGAATGAGTGCGATGGGCAATCCTTACGCGACCATGCAGCTGACCTCGCAGTACCAGTACTGCGCCGCGGAGCTCTCCCCGTACCACCATGCCGGGCCCGGGGTCGGCGGCGGCGCCTCCGCCTCGGACCCCATGCGCTCCCACGCCGTCTCGTCGCATCACCATCCCTGGTACGCGCCCGCCCCGCCGACCACCAACGACCCGAGGTTTGCCAGTGAGTACATTATTGAGATCGCTATCCCCTTTCTCGGGACTCCGACTCCGGAGGGTCGCGGATCCTATCGGGGCAATTATCCCGCGGTTAGGGATCGACGGGGTTCCTCGTCGATTGCGGAGGAATCGTTGTTCTTAGGGGTTATTCTGTCGTTTGGCTCTGACGACGGAGGTGGGCTACGAAGCTTCCGGAGAATTAGGGGCGTTGGAAATTTCACGTCGGAAGGGAAGCCCCTCGGGTCGGATTTAACCCTAGAACTACCAAGACCAGTCAAAATGACTGGTTTCAAATGGCCCATCCTATGCAAAAAAAAATCCCCCGGTAGTTCTAGCGTTAAAGATTGGATGAATTTCTTTCGATTGTCGAAATATCGCGTCCAGAGGGTTTTGGAGAATTCCACCCGTTCGATTGAATGCATTTGGAATCGACCAAGACCAGTCAAAATGACTGGTTTCAAATGGCCCATCCTATACAAAAAACAATCCGCCGGTAGTTCCAGCGTTAAAGATTGGATGAATTTCTTTCGATTGTCGAAATGTCGCGTCCAGAGGGTTTTGGAGAATTCCACCCATTCGACTGAATGCATTTGGAATCGATTTAACGATACCGTCGTCGTTCTCGAGTAAATGTCGAAAATTAGTCGATAGCTCGGGACGGAGTCGATCAATTGGTTTACGGGTAATCAATGGAAAAATGTTTCCTTGAACGTTGACGTGAATCGAAGGACGTTTGGTTGAAGTTGCTACGTTGAACGGCAACGATTTGATTCCGTTGTTGTTCGGAGTAGAGAGGAGTAAATGTTTTCGCGTTTATTAGTTACAATGATATTTAAATGGCGTTCGATTTTCTTGTATGCTGAGATTATTGCAACGGGTATAATGACGCTGAATTTGTCCTTGTAAATGCCTATCTCGTACGATAGACGGTTAATGTGCTTAATGCAAATCGGTTTTGGAATTTTAGGGGAAGGACTCGAACCGATAAATAATTGATAATTATTCAACGTAATACTGAAATTTCATAATGTATGTAGAAGACATTTTTTCATTCCTTTGCGAGAGGGCTGTAAAAAGTTCTCGTAAGTGGCTTTTTGGCTTGAAGAATTTCTCGATTTCGGGATCCAGGGATTCGGGTAGGTCAAGGGAATAGTTGCGGTGAGGTGGCATGCCTTAGGGGTCGTCTTTTCGTGAAAAGGGCATGACACTTTGAGAGAGTTCTCATGTTATATGCTTAGTCGGAAATCCACGCGAGAGAGGTCGTACGCAAACGTCTCTCGATAGAGGGTCGTAATTGTATTTTCCTCAGTTTATTTGCAACTTAGAAAAACGTTATACATTCAACGACGTGAATTTCTGAGAACCTTGAGTAGAGTTGAACGTTATTAATTTTAATATTCTCTTGGCAACGCCTGTTTTATTTTAAGCATTTCACTTGGGATTGTCCATAAAATGGATTTCTGTTGAAGGATCATATCGGTTTATTTGCTTCTTTTTTTCGAAGTCTCTTCCTTAGAAAATATAATTCTCTAGTATAAATGATAGTAGTCCAACGATTTCTATTCTCGGCGGATTAATCTATACGTATATATTTTAAACAATGTTTTGTATTTTCAACACTATTTGGGATATACGTGAGTCTTAAGGCCCGGACGAATCGTGGGTTCAATGTAATCAATGCCGATTAACAAACTTTCGTTACGATCGGTTCATACCGAATTTCTTTCTTGAAACCTTGCATGAACTGGAACAAAACTTCTTTTTGGACATTTTCGAGCGAACGCAAATCATCGCCATTGTCTTGGAAACGTTAGATCTATGGACGTAGAATGTATGGATCTCATTCAGTGATCAGACAATGAAACTTGCGCGACCGAGAGAGACATCAAAGGGGCTATTTTCTGTCCATTTCTATTTTTTTTTTACGTGAAACATTTGTGCAGTACAATATTAAAAAAAAAAATATTATAATTTTAAAACATCTTTTAGAAATTTTATTTGGGCATGATATACCCAAATTTCGTAACTTATTACTTATATATCTTATAAACATATATTTCAGGTTTAGTACATAAGTGTATTAATTTTCTTACAGGGTCTCACAAAATTATGAAAAAATGCAATAAAATTATAAATTTACTTAGAGATTTATAAGAAATATGTAGATTAATTCATCATTAAGACATCAAATTTATAATCTTATTACAGCCTTATGTATTAAAAGCGTATGAATTTTATGAGGATTTTCAACGGTGTAGTATCTCCGTTCGTTTTCTTTCCTTTTCTATGGCTTCACAAGAATATGAAGGGAATGAATGGGTTTGCGGGGTCCATATATCCTACGTCCACGATTCGGTCCCGTTGGGAAATGCTATACACCCTAAACCAAACGATTCCCGATATGTGAGCATGTGTGCCTCCGATTGCATTGAATCTGCTGGTTCTACAGGTCTTAAACCGTCGAATTTTTGGCATCGTATTCATTTCCATGGGACCGTACTCCGTCAAAATCGATCCCATCAGTTTAAAGCGAAGTTCTATATAACCACGCGTTAAACGGAAACCTGAGTTTAACTATTTTGTTTTTTATTTAGTCTCTGCCGCGTTTAGTTCACCCAAAACAGAGCTTGGCTTAATTCGAAACCGGCCGAACTTGTTTATACCCCGCCAATTTACTGGACATTACTTCAAATTAAGCCAAACTATTTTAATCAAGTATTTCATAAATAGTACGTTAATAATTTCCATAATTTAAGAATTTGTATAAATGGAAGTTACTTTACTGGACGTATTCGCATGACCAGACGTGTAATATGACAGTAAATGACGCATTTACACAATGCACAGATACTAGTCGCTTGGCCAAAGACCGAAACGAGGAGTCTCTGGAATGCCCGCGGCTCTTCGTTATGTGAAAAGTTGAATTTTTTTTTTCCATCCTCGCCTGTTTACTGGCTTCTTTCAGACATCACTCCAACTTGCCAAGGGCTCGGCCATTGGTCACGCATTTTTACGGCCGAGCCGCGGACTACCCGGAGGGTCAAATATTGTTTAATCGAAAATATTCATTTGCATCGCACACATTTCGACGCTACTCGAGCCGTTTGACAGTTCCGTGGAGGCGCGGGATAATGTGTGAATGTTGGAAGGATCGTTGATCTAGGCAGATGGGCTGCCACCGGGCGGCTCTCTCGATTGCGAAAGGTAAACAATCCTCGTCATCCCGTCACACTCGAGCACTTCGAGGTGCCATTCCCATTCGTATCGATCGTCAGCGATGTCTGCCAGAATCGCCGCTCCTGTCAAAATCCGCGCTCGCGACACGCCCAATCGTACGACTATGCGAATTTCGACTTATCACGACATAAATGAAATTCGTGTCGGCAGAAATGCGATGGTCCAGAAAAAGAGACGAAAACAAATACATCAGAATTATGAAGGATTGACGTTCCTATTAACTTTTCTTGTTTAACGGATGAAACGCATAATTCGCGGCAGAAATTCAAATCTCTTTCTCACTTTTCTTTCATTTCGGTATCTCCGGTACCAACGAGACTTTTCTGCTCGTATATGTAGATATTTTACCAACGTTCATTTGTTTCTCGGTAATCTTTGCTCGTAAAAATAGTCGAAGGAAAATCAGCGGACTCGTAATGGAACGGCGCTGAGAAGTCTGCGAGAATTAGAAGATCTACAAAACGAGACGTACTTTAATTACGGCAATCATGGGTTTGAGATAAGCTCCCTTAAGAGATAAATATCTAATATTAAATAATAACTATTAAACTGAGCAGCCAAAAGTTAGGCGCTAAGTACTCGGTGCCGTTAGCACATGCTTCTTACGTGTATTTGGCGCGAAACTCTATCGAGTTCTCTGATTCACGTGACAGCACCAACGATCCGTTTCCCTCGGATGTTGCTCAACCGACATTACAGAGCTCGATCTAATCTAATTGAACTTAAGCCAAGACGCTAACCGACCTTTCGCTACTTTCTCAGACATGATTACGAAACGAGGGCGAATGTGGGGCTTTGTATTTAATAGTATTTACGCCACCTCACTGTTTCTCTCTTGTTTCTTTTTCTCTCCCATTTTTCCGGTCCTGCCTCTCTCTCTGCCCCTTTCGCTCCACCGTATAAGAGCTATTCCCCATTGTCACGAAACGCTGGCTCCCCGATTTCCTGGTTCCATTTGGACGGTCCAGTATCCGTATCAGTTTCTCGCGGCAGAGTCCACAAAGCTCGGCGCGCATAACCGCCGACAATGCGTCCATCCTCTGGCCTGTGTCAACAGCACGCATCCCGCGTCGAATGGAATGGAATGGAATGGAATCGAATTGAATCGAGTCGAATCGAGTCGAACCGGTAGGTGCGCGGGGGTGAGGGGGACCCGGGTCCGATCGGCGTCGCGGCGATCCTCGGCCCTCGGCCTCGCAAGGGGCGTCGCGACGCGTGGCAAACGGTCGTCCTCGAAGATTTTAGTTAAGCAAATAAGCTTCGGCTCCTAGCGAGCCGGACCTAGGGGAAAGCAGGGGTCTAAGTCGGGGTTTCCATGCCGCGAGCACATCCTCCGATCGATTTGCTGTTTCCTATCCAAGCGTGGATGTTTGCCAGGGTGTGTCGCTATCGGGAAAATTCAGGAATCGGGTTTTAATCATGGACGTAGGCTATGTCGGGAATACCAAACTTGTAGTGATGATTTGGTAATGTTCGTGCATGCATAGATTTTAGTTAAGCAAATAAGCTTCGGCTCCTAGCGAGCTGGACCTAGGGGAAAGCAGGGGTCTAACAAGGAAACATTCCCAAGTGTCCGCCCCCGATCTTATTGATTTTCATACATATTGAAGAACACAAAAATCTAAGAGACACGTGTTTTTTTTATATCTGCAATGGTCCGCATTTGAAGGGTGAAACTACCCCCTAAAGTTTAGCAAAAATTCGATTTGTATAATAATTTTCATAGAAGCAATGGAGGGATTTCGACGAAACTTGGTATAAACATATTCTGTATAAGGACGGTGAAAACACAATATTGTCCAGCAATGCTACAACCCCCAAAGGGGGTGAACTACCCTTCAGGCGACATTTTTTGTAATATCTATTAAACAAGCACTCCTAGTTAAGTTCCACTTACGCCATATGATTGCTCACAAAAAATGAAGAAATACGTGTTTTCTGCTTTTTGCCAATAAACATTTACACATCGGTTGATCAACTTTTCTCGGATTATTATTTCTCAGGGTCAGCGGATAGTTGGTCCAGAACCGAATTCTATGCATGTCAGTCCGTTAATCTCGGAAATAAGGGAGAAACTGATTTTATTAGTAAATTTAGAGCCATTTACTAAAGACGTCCAGTGCTCGTATCAGTGGTTACTTCACCTTCTGTACGAATTCTTGTGTCTAGTACCTCGGTAGGACAATGGTTACTTTATATTACCATAAAAATGATTCGACACCGTCGAATCTCGCGCTCCATTCCCTAGACTCGTCTTCTAGTCACCGTGGGGTCCATGCGAACCCGGTCTAATCGGAAACCGTGGAGAACCTAAGACCCCTCCGATGGCGGTCCAGATGCTTAGAGAAGAGGGCCGCCAACTCGTTGGGACTAGAATCTACCTTGGTCCTGGAGAACCCATCCATTGACCGTTGATATCTGGACAAAAACCTTGCAGATAGGATCGCTGGAACTCGGCGATGCTCGGGACAATGAAGAGACGAACGCATCGTTGCCACCTCGGGACTCGGGCTACCTTATGGGTGAGAAACTTCCGAGCGGCGATTGTTTCAGCCTCGTTGGCACCCTTCTATCCCTTTGGCCTGGCTTCTCTCGAGCAGAGTAGAGCTTTTGAATCATCCCAGAAGGACCTCCGGACTCCTCGAGTGGACCCGGCCAGCCAGGGCGGTCAGGATCGTCAGAAACGCGCGAGTTTACTTAACGAGGAGCCACTCGGGACGCGTTGGGATCGCCTTCCACCGCTGAAGGATATGCCGTAACTTTATCCCCCGGACTGTCAGTCGATCTCGGTTCCATTGTCCAAGGCGAGTCCCGGGACGAAGAGGTGCCATCTCCTGCCTTTCCTCGGAAGAAAACTTCACGGGCTCCGGATACTGTTCCGTGGAATTTCGCGGTGGAGTTAGGAACTCCAAATCGTTAATGACTCCGTCAACGATAAGATGGATCGATGAGTGTTCGTTTCTGTAATGGGACAGATGTTGGGATACCCCGTACATTGAGACTGATCGCTATAGAGAGGATTTTCTTCCGGTAAAATTACAATCGCACGGCCGAGTCATTTGCGTCATTGCGGTATCATTTCTTTTCTAAACACTGTTTGCAATAGATTGAATTTCACAAAGATTTCTGAAGGGATAATATTGTTTAAATCAAAACATAAATGATATATGATTGGATCAATCGACCACTCTGGTATATCTACCGTAATTAAGAAAATTATACGAATGGATCTGGTGGAGGCTCCGAGTTACAATAAGGATCTGAAAATCTATCTACTCGAATCCGGTTCGACGTCTTTCAAGGTGGAGAACCTCATCGTGATATGAATTTTTCTTCCTCGCGATTTAGATAACTGTCAGGAATTCATGCTAATGAATTATGAGGTCGTTTACCTTTACAGTTTTTTTTTCATATGCGAGAACGGTTTTTAAAAAGTTGCTCAGAAATTTATTCAGAAAATCTATTCCGTTGTCTTCAGTTTTTTTATTAAGAAGATCTGGCAGACGTGGCAGGGATTCGAAGTTATCTTTCGAGACCTCGCATGTCGGGTGACGTAGCACTTCGCGTCTAAATCGTCCCATTGTTCGCACGTCTGTCGGTCTTTAACGGGTCCTCACTGGCTGAGAAGGGAAGGCCAGCCCACCCGATTCGGTAGCCCTTCCCACCGCTCCGAGGAAGAAAGAATCCCTTCATTTGAGAAAAGGGGAATTGATTTACCCTGAACTAAATAAACCGTCCCCGTGTCAAAAGTAATTTCTTTAAATCCACCTAACTTTTCGAATGATTAACTACGTACCTATAGGTATCGATTTCATAATGCAATGCATTAAAACAAAACAAAAAAATTACTTTGAATACTTAAGATGNCCGAAATTTAATTTTTCGAAAAAAGTGTCTTCTTTTGACCTTGTCCGGGATAAATACATTATTTGTTTTTTTTTCCGAAAAATTAAATTTCGCGAGTTTTAAGTCTTTCGTAACACCTTAAACGTAAATGTCTCGATTATAGGAAAAATGTTTACGAGTGTTCGTTTCTTCGGCATCTTCGTTGCAAATGAAAAACTTAGGATTTTTGTCGGATCATAGTTTGGAGAGCTGGCGCTCCAAATTATAACTATTAGGTGTAAGGGAAGGTTCTGTTGTTTTTCTCTAAAGAAGTGTACATGTTCAAAAAACGACAGAACTTTCCCTTACACCTAATATTTTTAGAAGCCAGGTTAAACCTAAATGGGGCGACACCAACTAATTTGTGAACACTATTCGTTTTGTAATTAACGTGCTTCCTTCGAAGTCCTGTAGAAATAGTTTATTGGTATACAACTAATGACGAATCACAGAAAAATTCGCGCTTAAGGCCTTGAAATTTGACAAAATACAGTCGTTACGCTTTACCACTAAAACTACCGGCGGATTTTTTTGTCATTGGTGGACCATCTGAAATCCGTCATCTTTATGGGTTTGTTAGTTACAACGTTAACTGTCCGCATTCTTCCTTTTCACCGATATAAACAAACCAAAAATAGACTGATTTTATTTATATAAGCTGTAATTTTTGATACCATCTAATAGTTGTAGAATGGGTAGAGTCGATCGCAAGAATTTCGTATGAGGGATCTCCAAATTATAAATATATACAATATATATCGCCCTGCATACATTTCAACGATTTACGACATTACATGTTCAAATGATCCCAACGCATTCTCCGAGAAATGAGATCTTGTAAGTTTAAGAAGCAATCGTAAAGCAAGAAGCCCCTTTAAATTAACGTCGAGTACTCGCTCTTCCAACTTGAGCTCGTTGAACGAACGCCGAAGAATAATCGATTCTCCCGTTAATATGTTTTGCAGTCTCGCGGTTGATGGGTGCCGCCGCGGCGGGCGCCGGGACCAACATGGCCGGCTGCTCGGTGGGCCAGTCGATGGGCGACGTGACCAAGTCCTCGGGCATGGGCGTAGGCGTCGGCGTCGGCGTGGGCGTCGGCATGGGCGTCGGGGCGATGCAGTTCCCCCTGGCGCAGCGGCGGAAGCGACGAGTCCTCTTCACCCAGGCGCAGGTCTACGAGCTGGAGAGGCGGTTCAAGCAGCAGAAGTACCTCAGCGCCCCGGAACGCGAGCACCTTGCCTCCCTCATACACCTAACGCCCACCCAGGTACGTGGCCGACCTCTGGCACCTCGCTTCTGACCTTTAATTTGTGTCAGGGAGGAGAAAAATTCTTCTGGCTCCAACAATGTCAATAACGTCCGGGATTATCAAAAAAGTCGGTAGAGTTTCGAGCCAAATACATTTCTTGAGCGAGGAACTCGTAGCGTTGAGCGATGCAAGAAACGCGCCTTGCCGCGTTGAATTCCAGCAAGACGTCACAAAGTTTTATACAGTAAGGATCGAGATTTCAGGAGTGGGGGGAAAGAAATATAATTTCTTCGTTTATTTTACTTGGCCGTTCTATCCGAGGGGTCGTTAACTCGCGAAATCGCGCGTTTTAACGCTGGAAATCCCGGGAAAATCAGCTGAAAGTCATTAAGAGCATCATAGAATGTAACACGCTGATACTGTTCGACCCCAATGACAACGATGAACTCGTTAAGAATGGTTTGATATCAGTGGCGGATTACTCGGCGCAATGGAAATTGCAAGTAGAATGCTGGAAATCAGTGAAAATCGTTGGAAATCGCTGGAACGGAATTACAGACATTTTTATGCTTAACGTCACTTAATACCGAAGTACCTTGTTATTCTTCATGGGACATTATTTTGTTCGATTTCCGAGCGAGTCCAAGTTCCTTGTGGCTTCTTCGCATCCGAATTTTTAAATCACGCGAAGGAAAAGGAGAACGCACTTGGTGCCGACAATGCAAACAAAATATAGAGTGGTCCAATTAATTCATCCGTTTCAACGGTACCTGCGGTACCTCTAGCGAAATTACGAAATTCGTGAAAGGATGACATTGTTTGATTAGAAGTGGTAACAGTATTTATCATTATTAAATTTATTGATACACTAATCTGAAAAACGGGAAATTATGGTCCTGAAAGACGCACGTGGCAAGAAAATCAGCCCTTAATTGCATGCCAGAATGAGCATGAACTGTATCGGTTCAATTTTCAATGAAATTCACTTTAAAACAGTTGATTTCAAACGATCAGAAAAACTCTGAACAGTCGTATTGCCTATTATATTATTATATATGTGTTTATATTCCTCGAGATACCTTGATTTTGCTCGTATCAAGAAATTCGGCAGGTTCGGAACAGATATATAAGCGCATATCAATCAAGGGTCTCCGTTACGACCGAGCGCAGCTTTCGAGCGACAGTCTAGGTATGCGTTGTCACATTATCAAGAGTACTTAATTTCAGAGGAGGTCTAATTATTATATCTGCTAACCATCGAGGATACCCCCTCGAGTCGTAACAGTTTCGTGGCGCGATTAATGGGAACGTTCGCTTTGGGCGTATTTTAAGAGCCCTCATTGAAGGGACATGTCCACGGGGTCGGTGGTAGTCTGGTAACAATAAATAATTGTTGCCCAGCTCATTGGCCGCATCCTGCATTCATTCACGGGCAGGGTCTCCCCTCGTTTTGTCTGTTGCACTGTCTGTCTATCTGTCTGCTCGTTCGTCTGCCTCTGCGTCTGCCCTGCCGACCGGGTCGGCAATCCCGCGCAAGTGACCGCACGGATTCGCTTGCGAATCGCATTAGCCGCCAGGAAGAGCTCGAATCACCCTCATCTTGGGTCTAGAAACCTTTCGCAACAACCCATTGTCCCGGGACATACGTATAAAAAACGAATAAATAAAAGAACTACGTGACCGTCTACCCCTTGGCTCTCGGGTTCGTCTTTAGAATTTGCACAGCAGTTCCGTACGCGGAAATATTTGGCTTAACTCGCTGAGCTGCTACAAGTTAATTGTGACAAATCTTACCGAACATACGCGAGATCGAGGGGAAATATTATTCCGCGTGATTTAAAGAGAATGCAAATCTATCGTATACGGCATTAGGGAAATTATTTCCGCACGGTATTGGTCTCTCCTGTGTACAGGTATCTTCTTCGCTTACGTCACTACATTGGCCAGAGAAACCATTTTGCCAAGTGGAGCTTCAGAAAGTGGAATTAAGTCCAGAGGTTTCACCCGTGATAAACGGTCGAGACCACCGGGATGAATTCGGTTACGGTAGATATGTCTTTAGACGGGCCTGGAGGCATCAACTCGCTTTCGACGCGTCCCTGAAATGAGCTCGGTCCAGAGAGACAGAAGGAGCACTTACATCCCTTTGGAGGGCGGCGATGCGGTTGCGGGCGACGGATGAGCAAAGTGGAAAATGGCGAGAGCCCGGCCCGCAAAGCGGAGGCGTCGCGAATGACTCGCACGAGCACGGAAGTAGCACGGAGTCATTACAATCAAGGGATTTCATGCGGCGAGGTCGGGGAACCGCGAGTGGGACTCGCCATAAGGTTCAATAACGAGTTCGAGTCGATGGCACTCGGAACTCGGCCGAGTCGTGAATGGCGGCCATGAAGGCCGGTACCCCACACGGAGGGCAGGCAGCCACCGTATCGAGCGCACTTGAACTTCTGGGGACAAACAGAGCCCAAACGAGCTCCTCGATCCTGCATAATCTGTATGTGCCACCCCGGCACCACCCACTCGGACCTACTTCAACCTAAGTTCGAACTTCTCCCGGGCACCTATGTACTCGGAGTGTCGGAAGGACGCGTACGCGGATCATCACCGAGAGCTTTCTTTCCGCTCCGATTTATATACCACTTGTTATGAACTTCACGGTGGAGGAAAGGTCTCCGTCTTTGGCCCTTTAGTCGTTTAAAAATGGTTGCGGTCTCTAGAAGTCGGCGGACACGGAGTAGATAATTACGCGTGACGTTCGATTTTCGGATCGACCAGCCCTTCCTTTACTTCTTTGTACGAATGCGCGAGCACCCCCGCCCACCCCGCTGCATTTCATTTCCAAATCCGTAACAATTGCATGTAAATTTAATCTCCCTCTCTTCGGCAGAATTGCCCGTAACTTTGTAAACGCTCGAGAGGCAACGCGAAAACGAGAGCCACGGGTGAGACGTATTCGTTACAGAATTGGAGCCTGGTTTGAGATCCGCGTGCGGATAGAAAATCCCGTGATAAAAAAAAACGCATTGGTGGTGGATGCTGGGGAGCGATCGAACATCCCGTGAAAGAAAAAGTCGTGTTGGGAGCTTGCACGTGACCTAAAATCTCGGGGAAGGTTCGAAAATCGATTTCAAAGTTAACTGGACCCTAGTCGAGCAGAATGCCATCGGGGCTACCCGAAAAGGTAGTCTTTCCCTCGTGTAACCAACGCGCGTGAACACTCCCATATTGCGTGCAGCCGACGCACCAATCGTGCACGCGTGCATGCGCGGACGAGAGTGCGCGTCGCGCCCCGGGCCCCTCCCCCTCCCCTCGCGTTCTCCAGGCAGGACACAGATGCGGCCCTCCATTTTACGTTTGCATTGTTACTTTAAGTGCAGCCCGTATTGTTACTGCTTGCCCACTCCGGCATTGTTGCTGGCATTGTTATTATTATCGCTATTCTCGCGACGGGGAAAGAGAGGGCCGGCGAGCCAGCTGCTCATCGAGTACCGCATTAGAGGCAAATTACAGGAGCGCCTCTTTGCTCTCTCTGCCCTGCCGAAATCCGCACTTTGGAGAATCACTTCCTCCGAGCAAGGTCTACCACCTTCAGGGACGGGACTAGCACGTGTACTAATTTGCAATGTCGAATCTCGGGCTCGATCGGAAAGACCCCGGTCTGGGATGTATTCGCAATTAGGGTCGATACGATCTATTTCGCAAACCATTTCATACGAAGTTAGAGTATCTATAAGAATTTTAATAATTGTTATGATTACAAAATATGTGGACGGATTTTAATCGAAGGGCACGATCCGTTGGAACAACATTTCAGGATTCGACCCGTTGGACAGAACAGCAACAGTTAATATAGCACGTAAAATTCTGCGGGGTGAAATGTCGAATTTGTTTTATGTAAAGCTTACCTTGGAACGATTGTTGTAGGTTCTCTAACCTCCACTCCTGAAGTTCATTTTTTACAAACTCATCCATGTAGTCACTTGTAATCAAACCATTACAATTAATTGAAAAAGTAAAACTCGATCTTAAATTAGATCGAAAGCCGAATTTCGAAGAGGACCGAATGATGCGGCTACCAAAGTCACAATGAATCTAACAGTTTGCAGGACTGCGCAACTAATGCATGTCATGACCCGAATGCTTCTCGCTCTGTCTTAATCGCATAAAAGGAACAATAATAGTTCACGCTTGCAACAAAAATCTAGTGGTACGGTATATTTTACGGTTTTCAATAGAGTCCTTGCTTTTAAATGTTACATCGGTGATGGTTATTTTTACACGTGCCTTCATACGCGTAATTTTTACTTTCCAATGTTATACACGTAACACAGTCAGATGCAAATATAACTACAATTTATTTACAAGAATTCTGCAGTCGGTGCCACAACCGCAATGGTTAAAAGGACAAAAAATTGAAATTATATCTGCAATCATTGTTGTTAAGATTACAACGATACTTTTACCCGCGAGCAGATGTAATGATTACAACATCATTCTTCTGTGTGATTTAATCAATCAAGTAGTTACGTATTGGGTTGCTCGGTAACCCAAAACGTAACAACTTGATTGAACTAGAAAACGTTTCGGGCCGCGATCGAGAAGAGATCTGCATCGGAGGAGTCCGCGCCGCCAGGGCGGTCTCGGCCCAGCTAGAGCATATCGGGCACCCCATTGCATCGGGCGACGCCATCTCGGAGCTGCGCAAACAGCATTAAAGTCTCAATCTTTGTTCGTGGGAGCAAATTCGAGGCGGCCGCGCCAGGCTCCGCAGGTACGGGAGCATAAAGACGCGAGTGTCAGAACGGGGGATGGCTGTGCACACAACATTATTTTTCTATGGGGTAGCGCAGGGGTGGCGAACCTCTCCGAGGGGGTGCCGAGCAACGAGAACTATAAAGAGCTCCGAGGAGTTACCCGGAGCTATCCGAGGCTATGCCGAGATCGCGCGATTGAACCCCCGCGTATAATCATGATAATAACGATAACGATGGGTTTGCTCACGAGCCGCGAACTTCCGC